CGCCCTGATCGATTTGTGGCTTGGAGAGCAAATAAGAGCATGGCTAACATTGACGAGTGTGAGGCTAAATTGATGGACGTGATGAGGTCTATTCTCGGATATTAGATAGTTCCGGTTTTACACTGGATGACACAATAGATAGTCTAGAAAATAGGACGAATCTGAACTGAGAAGAAACATAATGTTGACATTTGAGAAGTATTTCCAGACCTGGATTGATGTCTAGTCCAATGTTACCCGACATAACTCTCCCATTTCCCGTTAATCCAAGCGGTTTTGATCTAACAAGTCAGCAGTATGGCAAAATCCGAAAGGTTAGTCAAGATATTTCTACGTAGTCTCACGTAGCAATTATAAAAATTTAGCCCACGATGACCAGATATAATATCCCTGGCTAATCAAGCCTTCCAAATCCATCTGCGCTTTTCCAGCGCGTCAAATCCGCGGACCCCTATCACACACATCGACGAGCCTAGGAGGAGCGCACCGTCGTACCAGATAAGTTTGCGGTAGTCACCAAGGATTTGTGATTTGTCCTGGCCAGGGGTGGGAACTCTGGAGTTTCCTAAAATCAAACCTCCAACGGGAGAGCCGAATAACGCACCCAAGCCGCGGATGAAGTAGAGAAAGCCGTTGACAGAGGTATACGCTTGGACTCCGAATAGTTCCGTAATGGTTGTTGGAAAGAGTGCATTGTAGCCTGAACGTATGGTTAGTAAATGAGTAACTAGTTAAGATTGTCAGAGAGGATACCAATTGACGGAAGCGATTTTGTATCCGAGCAATGTTATGTATGAGAGGCTGTCACTCACCACCTATGAAACCCCCATCTGTTAGCTCTAGAATAGCAGCCTCCCCCCCCCCCCCCCCAAAAAAAAAAAAGGAAATAAGAGAGGAGAGATTTCTTACCAGCTAGTATTCCATAAAGTACAATAAACGCAATCCATGGCGCCTTTGAGCCGTCATCGGCAGCGAAAAGCCACAAAGTCAACACACTAACCGTGCTGCCAATGACTCCTAGGACAAGTGTATTCTGTCTACCAAGCTGATCCGCAGTATGGCCCATGAGGACGCGAGATACGGAGTTCACACCGTTATTGATTGCCAGCAACGTCGCACCAAACGATGCTGAGTAGCCAACGACGCTGGAGAATTCCGGGAGGAACGTCATTGGCACAAAGTTACCACTGGCCTGAAGTAATGCAGCAATAGACTGCAGGACAAATGCCGGTTTTTTGGCCAAGGTCATATTGACCAAAGTAGGCCGTCTTGTAGCACTGAGGCTCGGAGGAGCAAAAAGGGCAATGGGCAAGGTGATTACCAAGTTTGCGAAGGAGAAAATTCGTAGACACCATCGTGCACCAACAGAATCCAAGAGAGCGCGAATTATGGGGGAAATTATAAGACCCCCTACACCTGCGCCGCTGAGAATGAACCCCATGGCTAAGCCGCGGCGGCGGTCAAAATACTCGGGAGCAACACTCAGAATCGGGAAGTAGAGCATTGAACTCCCCATTCCATACAAGAAGCCCTGGGTTAATAAAAGTTGCCATACCTCAATCATTGAAGTTCAAATTAGCAAACAGAACTAATAATCTCTTTTCTATACATGCTACTACAGCAACGGAGAGAACATAGTATTTACCTGGTTACTGGTGCTGGCAAGACCATAAGCCAAGCTCATCAAAACACAACCCGCCGTTGCAATCTTGCGATTGGAATTCCCTTTGACCTTCGTCATTAATGGGTTAACAAAAATTGAGCCTCCCCATGTTAGCCCCGCCCCCAGAGTGCCCACAAGAGCTACAGAAGCTCTGTTTTGCGCCTGCGATGGCGGGAGGAGTGATTGACTGCTCGTCACATAGTACTCTTGGAAAACCCCGTAGGAGAGATTGGGCCCTATGGTCATGATGACAGCAAGAAAGGAGCATATTAATACCACTAGCCGACCTTTACGCGTGGTCGATGCTTGGTCTCGCTGAACTGCCGCGTTCGAGGGAGGGCTATCGGTCCCCAATGGTTGCAGTGGGATTGGGCTGGATGACATTGTATGCTATGGATGGTTTTGTATAGATCTGAATTATTGAGAGAATTGTTGAGGTGTTTATCATAGATCCAACGGTCTAAATCAAGTGAAACGGTAATACCTGAGCAATATTGACATGTTAATCGAAGGTTGTCAAAGGAGGGGAATGGAGTCTCTCACCATTCATATCGGACCCGCTCGCGCACACTCGCGTACACCGGACAACATCTTGTCCGCTGTTGAAACCGGCGATTTAGGGCGGCGATAGCCGCGACCCATACCGCGAGAACTTGAAAATTGACACAGGTTGACAGGCCACAGCTGCCCCAAATCCTCTTCGGCGTTTTGTAACGTGCTAGCGAGGTCGTTGAGGTCTGGCGCATGGGGAGGAAACACCCGAAGCGCCGCTTGGCTGTCGGACCGACGACCCGGCGATGTTCAACTCGGCCAACCTCCTAATCTTTCCTGTGCTGGGCGTGTTAGGAAAGAAAGTACATTACAAGAGATATTCCTTTCTTTCCCCCCTTTACTCACGGTCACAGCGGAGCGGGAAAATATTGCTGTGCCTCTGGAATGATGAATCGGTAATTGTGCTCTTCGACATCATCCCAATCAACAGTTGTGGCTCTACACGAAAACGCTTAAATGCCGTGGCAGGAAGTTCCAAATCCATTTCTTACCGAGAAGAAACAACAGTTAAAGTCCATCTGTACCAGCATTTCATCTAATACTACTAACCATAACTGCGACCTTTACAGTATCCATCTCCACCAAAACGGAACATAAAAGGGGGACACCGCACAGGAAGGGATGAAATCTTGGGGGTTTTCATGTGATGATTACAGTGACTTTTTCAACAAACAAATTTGTAAATGAAAATACAAAGAGAGAAAAGTGCTGAATACATATATCCATCGATGGTTAAATATAGAGAGAGTAACAGAAAGAGAAGGATAAAAGAAGTATTGCAAATATTACCAAGGAACGTCTACAGTCGGATGAACAATAATATATCACAAGAGCAGTAAACTTCTCCCTCTGTCTTTCTATCCACAATCTCACGACATCTAGGTGGTCTGTTTGGCCGGAGCTGGGCCACCAGTTGTTGGTAGGCCCATGAAAATCTTGAAGGAGTCGTAACTGTACAAAAGAGGGAGGTTGTCAGCATTCTATACCATTCGGTAATGAGGGGAAGAAGTAATCTTGCTGCGATAGAAGAGTTGGCATACATCATCCATTGGAGGCCAGTCTACACAAGTAGTTAGTCAGATGCTCAGTACAATCCTAGTACTAAAACAATGATGGGGCATACCAATGTGCCAATCATGACAATTCTCACGGGCAGACCGTTCCAAAGACCCATAAATCCAATCTCCTTGTAAATTCGGCCCATAGCTGCGCCGAACGCTTCGCCAGGAAGGCGATTGGCGTTAAGTTTGCTGACCATAACATCTGCCGGATGCGACACGATGGCGCAAAGAATACCAGCTAAGTAACCACCAGTAAAAGCAACGGCTGTTTGTGCACCCTTGTTATAATCCGACTTCTGGCCTGGGAGACGGTTATATATCATTTCCACAATCCTTTCGAACGACGCGAATTTCATCATCGTGTACGGAATTTGCCGGCCCCAGAGTGGGTACAGCCCCTTAAACAGTCTTTGTATATGGGAGCTTATGTTAGCTATCTCTCCTTCCCATATCGATGGATTCATAAATATATGAGGATTTATTTACCCTCCAACGCCTTCTTTTGCAGTGATGTGAGACATTGCAGCAAATGTTCGAGTCGCAAAAGGTGGGATTGTAGTTTGCATTCGGACTTTTACAGCCTCGAATGGACAAAGTGCAACATCTGCGATAAACTCTGCAGACGCACTGGCAGTCAAGTATACTGATGTTCTCCAGCGGATAGCTTTTTCCTCTCCCAAAAGGTCGCTGTAAAATTTCTTGAAGAACTCATATCCACCGTATTTGAACGCGCCTTGGGCCTAATATAATCGAACGATCAGGCGGATCCACTAACCTCATGATTTAAAATCGATTTGTAGCTCTGGCGACAGTCGACATAGTAGAGGGGAGGGGGAAGAAAGGGACTTGCTTACAGAGTATCCGTAAAGGGTGGGACCCCAGCCAGTGAAGATACCGCGGATACCTTCCGCTCGGCCAATCTTGGACCAGGCCTCGAGGTTGCCTTTGTACATATTGGGATCAACTTGGCGACGACATTTCACCAAGTCCAGCGGAGTGACAAGAGCATGTGTCAAGCCCTAAACATAGTCATTGGTAGTGGTTCCTTACCAAGCGGGTGGGGGGTAATCAAAGACAGAAACAAAAAAAGGAATAAAAGTGCTACAAGCAAAGAGTATCTGGAAGAAACTCACGCAAGCTAGTAAACCTCCAAAGATACACGAAGCATAATACTTTGGACTATACAGCTCGATTTGACCAGTTTTAGATTGGACCTTTGCGCTGGCCTTGTCGAATTCCTTGGTAGCTGACTTGCCCACGGCCTCTGCTTTATGCTTGACATCATCAATGGCGCTCCATGCAGGGAACAAAGGTCTATCCATTGGCGTTGGAGCTGGCTTCTGTGCCTCTCCATGAAAGCCAAAGAGTGGATGTCTCGAGCCAAAGGTGTTGACAAGAGTATCTTGGTTGGGGAAGATGGAAGGCATGGTGAGAGTCTTGTCGTTGGTAAAGCAGTGCTAGTCTATAGGGATTCCCATTCATCAATCAACCGACGAATTTAATAAAAACGAATCCATTGGGAAACGTTAAGGAGGGCTTTTTGTGTAAAGGCAGACAATTCGCAGAAGTATGCTTACTATGACCTGACAGAAGCAACTTGTTGTTGATGGCCAAGTACGGCGTTATCCGGCTGTGTCAAACCTGATTGTTTTGTGATGACGTCGTCACACACTGACGTGAGTTGGAGTACGGAATAGTATGAACCACACGAACAAGCACAAGAAGCACGATTTCCCAACGCAATGAGTGTATATAGAATGCAGTTGAATCGCAATTGCTGGATTCCCTCTCTGCCAGTGAGCAGCGAACACGAGAATGACTGACTGACCTTGCAGCAAGCCAGGGGGAGTCGACGTCGGTTGTTCCAAAGGCTGGCGATTCAGGCGGGAGGACGGCGCTAGTCCCAATGCAGATAGATTCGGGTTTTGGCCTTAACCCCGGTTTGTGGTTGTGCTTAGGTAATCCCAATGGCGGCTGCGCTTAACAACATGTTTGTCTTGTTTGCTTTAGAAGTACTCTCTCATACTAAATTAGTGTGGTGGTACGGTACGGTACAAAATGCCTCCTAATGCGGTTGTCGGTAGTCGATTCAACTATTAAAGCAAATATTTGGGGATTATATCTAAGACTTCAACTCGGCGACAGCTGTAGCGCGAAATGAAAGATAGAAGGGAGGGAAAGAATATATCAAGCACTCTATTACCATTTTTCACAATTGACCAAAGAGCCTGCATCTCCGACTCACTCTTCACTTCCCCTGCCCCGCCATGTCGAATTGATACCATAGACACATCACGAACGAAGGGAGCGCGTAGCAGCATACCGCCACCGTACATCAGAACAGACTTATAAACAAGTTCAATTTGCCTACCTCTTCACAATGACGTCCTACTCATCCGCCAGCCAAGCGTACGAGCGGGAACGTACCCCCGCAAACGGAATCCCGCCCTCCACCGCCACCGCCTCCGCCTCAACTCCCTTAACTTCCATGTCTGACAAATACCGTGGTGTAAGTGCCCAAGCAATACCCAGTCCACAAAAACACGACTATTATTGCTATGAAATATGCTAATAACAACGTAAATTGTTCTTCGAAAAACCAAACAGGCCACAGTTGAAGACCTCGACCCACCTGCCGCCCTTTCAACTTCCCCCCACGATCAAATATCAAGCGCCCTCCTGGCCGCCTACGAACGCGACTATACCCACCTAACCGTAATATCCTCCTCCTCGCGCTCGCTACTAGGTTACCTCAGCATCCCGAGGTTAAGAGCGCAGCTGAAAGAAGGCACCGTCAGAGAATCCGATCCCGTGGAGAAGGCCATGTTGCGTTTCCGGAGGCGCGGGCATGTGTATAAGATTATCACCATGCACACTCCTCTGGAGGAGCTGGAGAGATTCTTCGATGGCGAGCTGGTGAGAGAAGATGGCAGTGTAGAGAGGAGAGAGAAGCAGGATTTTGCCGTAGTGACTGATGCGAGTCGCAAGTTTGTGTTGGGCGTGGCGACGAGGCAGGATTTGGAGAATTTTGTGAAGAGGAGGCCTGGATAAATGGCTTTGAGGAAGGGGAGTTAGTTTAGGGAGTGATAGTTTTCTATGTGAAGGACATGGGTCCGCAGTGTCACATCTAGTGGAACCCCGTGGCGGATTAAGTGAAGCAAGATACCTACTTTCTCATGTATTTATTCCCACTTCTCTAATATCTACTTGTATCGTAACATGATTGGTTTGATGGACGATTCATAGTTGGACGGACTGCTAGTGGTAATATAAGCAAATTTACCACAGTATAACAAAATGGATAAATTCTCTGACCTGCAACGAGTCCAAATACATGATGAATCTTTAGAATGAGACAGCAAAAGGGAGATGTGAAAAGGGCGGGAAGAGGCATAGAGATGAAATAACGCCTGTTCACATTAGGCACACCACAAAATCCCCCATTTTAGAATCGGAAAATCCGCTAGTTCAAACATGGGCAGCTGCTTGAAGGAGGCCAAACCAGCCGGCTGCCCCTGGACTGAAAACGGCCCTATAACCCTAGTTATGAACATAGAGGCAACTAAACCAAAACAATAATTAAAAAGCCATTAGATTTTTCAAAGCCAATCTCCCTCTACATCACCTCGCATACTTCAACCTTCGCGTAGCTTCTGCAGCAACTAATGAACATATAGCACCAACAAAAAGACAAACCGCAATGGCATTAGGGCCCTCACCGTGCCGATTTATCCACTTGCCGTCGTCCTGCTCGCCAGAAGGTACGTCCTTGAGATCCCCATCCGTTGCTATCGGGGAAGTGTCCGGTTCAAGGATGCTGAATACAATCCACGAAACGAGCGTCCCGACGAACTGAGGGAGGGTGGTATATACATTAAGCACGCCTAGATAGATACCAGCCAGCTCACCGGTGGAAGAGACCTCATCATCGTCGTCGGCTTCGCTGTCGCTGTCCACGTCTGGACTATTGCTGTGATTTAGACGGAGGATAGAAGGCCCACGGTCTTCGAGTTCGACATCGTAGTTGCTTAGGTCAGAGTTGTGTCTGTTGAAAGTGGCGGATGTTATCATGGTGACGCTTGATTTTCTTGTGAAGGACGGTATCGCAAGGCGGTTTATTTCCACACCCATGAAGGCAAATGGAGCCCAGCAGGTGACTGCCCAGGGGACTCCGCAAATTGCTACGAGTAGTGTGGCGAACCGCACGGAACGGGCTGTGGGAGCGAATATCATTGTCAAAGCAAACACAATATGTGAGATCATCCATGCGGTTTGCAGGTCGGGTCGGGTGAAGTGGAGTTTGTTAAAAAGCCTGATTAGGCCCAAGGGAGGACGGCGGACGAAGGCGGATTTCTTGGTGTCCGGGGAAAGAACGCCAAAGGGGAGGACAACTGAACTGATGAAAGTGACCAAGGAAAATATCACGAGTGACATGCTACCAAGGCGACCGACATCCCCTAGCGTATCTGAGGACTTCTCGGCAGCTTCTTTGGGTGCCTCGTAGCGGAAGTACGTCTCACCTACCCATGTGCTGCTGTAGAAGAGAAAAGGAAACCAGCCTGTCGTTCCCATGTTAGTTTGTGAAATTATTATTAAACAGTCCTGTGAATTGACGACCTACCGATCCATGCCCAGAATTGGGCCCAGCATATAGCCTGTATCCGTGGTGGCAGGTTGACTGTCGTTCTGAATAATTGGGCGAGTATCTTGACTGCCCCTATCTTCTTATCCGAATCCCTAAGCGCATCGAAACGGTTCGCACTTAGTCAAATTCAAGAAACCGTACACAGAGGGGGCTATTACCTAACTGAAATCAACACCCTCTCCTTCACCGCATACGAGGTCACGGATACGGAGACAATCAAAAAAGTGGCAGCAATCATAGTCATCTGCTTAAACTGTGTATCGCCGAATGCACGGCCGAATATGCTCAGCATATCGACTGAACCAATTGCGTAGCCCGCAAGGTGGCCGACAGCGGTCATCCGGCTTGCCCATGCTGACCCAAGCTGTTGCTGAGGAATTGGCAGCGTGTCAACTATCAAGCTACGACAAGACGCTTGAACTATACCGAATATAAGTCAACCGTCATCATCTCGGAAGCTTCACTTAAAGAGTAAAGAATGGCGAATTAATCTGAGTAAACATTGAGACGCACCGATATTAATCGCAAAATCGGCAGCATATATGCCGAATACCGCAACCGCAATCGTAACGCTTTTTTTCTGTTTCGAGTTAGTACACAATACCTGATATGCCAGTTTTATCACAACCATTCTCCCTTATTTCTTCGCTCAACCAAGCCTTTAACGTAACCCAAGGATCTCTTTCCCGAACCACCCCCGATCCGACCACCAACCCTCTCAAATCCCTCAACAAGGATCCCACACATACCGTATCCTCATCGGAGATGAATATGCCTACTATTTCTGACGTCCAACCCAAAACTAGCAAGAAAAACCCAACGATAAGAGAGCCAACTATCATGAACGGGCGCCTACGGCCCCATTTCGAGGTAGACCGGTCCGTGATTACCCCGACCAGGGGTTGCATTATCAATCCCGACAACGGGCCGGCGATCCATACCAGCGAGGTTCTCGATTTCGTCAGGCCGAGTTGGAGGAGATACGGCGTGCAGTCTATAGTTTTTCCAAAGGAGGTTAATTTAGGATTGGCTCGTCTTCTCAGGGATCTATAGAGGAATTGCTAGCTAGTCCAGGAGACGGACGGAGTGGACAAAAAACGAAAAAAAACCGGAATGGAAGTAGAAAGGAAAAATGGGGGTTTAATTTACATGTCATTTCAACGCCCCAAGTAAATCTTCATGCATCAGAACAGTCAATATTTACAAGTCCCATCAATATATATATATAGAGATAAAGGCCCCCAAATTGCTAATATATACAGGGGTATTCGGGGAGGTGATTTGGGGTGGGGTCTTCGGTGCGCGTGTGTATGTTCATGGGGATGAGGGATAGAAGGAAGAGGACTTGTCTTTAAACGCACTGTAGGCCGACGAGGCTAAATGTCAACAATGCCATTCGTATGGCCTCCGTCCCGCCCTTGATAGAGGGCGTGCCAACCCATGATGCTGCTTGCCGCATAGCATGGGACGGCTGCGATTTGGACGTGAGCCAGGCCGGGAGAACGTGCGGAGAATGCCGTGAAAGCGTTAAATTTGCGGGTATGGGCGTCGTCCCAGCCGCTCTATCTGTTGTTTTGTTCGCGGGTCCTCAAATGAAGGTCAGGCGAGGGTTCAATGGCGAGGTATTATTGCGTTTTTGATTCAGCCTACGCGGGCGGGTAGAGAGAGCACTGGTAGGGAAATGTTGCGCAGGCTTGTGGTCTGGGCGACAGCAATTCGAAACACAACTAAAAGAATGGATGGAGAACAGAGAATAGCAAACTAGACACGAAAGATCAACATTAGTAGCAAAATAGAAAAGTAATAACACAGGAACGAAAATATGATGATGGGATGATTCTCGGAGATTCTAGAGAGGAATGAATGCTTCCAAGCTTTTATTCCCCAGGTGTAACTAGCCAACTATGTGGCTTACTAAGACTAGTTACCGCCGATCAACCCTAATTAATTAACTAACTGCCCCTGACTCCACAAGATTATCCGTATCAATGCTCCGTATGTTGAGATCAAGCAAAGATCCCATTTGTCAATGCTTGCTTTTCATTCTTAGTATATTTTTCCTGTTCTTCCCGCTCGTTAGTCTCTTATTGCGACGTACAGTCATTGCCAGAAAATGAAAACCAGAGAGAAACTGGTCGCCCAAAAGGAGATATCCAGCATTCGGGGTCACGAATAATTACCATAAGGAGAAAGGGAGCGAGGGGAATGGAAGGCTAAATAAATCCATATGTACTGATTTGCTTGCCTTTATCGTCTCCAACAGAGGGCTCTTCACTTATGCCATCTATATTATATCTAAATTTGACGCGCTTGAAAATAACACTATTATTCTGTGCTTTTGACAAAGGTCCTCCGCTCAACCGGATGGTAAATAAAAACAAAGAGAGGAGGGAAGAAAAAAAGGAATGGAAAAAAAGAAAATGGAAAATGGAAAAATTCAATAGACAGACAAAAAAAAAATAAAAAGAGATATATATTAAGAATATAGGAAAAGCTCACGCAGCTGGTCCCTTCGCCTTCGCTCCCTTAGGAACCCGTGTGAGCCAGTAAATAAACACCGCACAAGCAATATTAAACACAATATACACCCACATGAGGCCAAAATTCCGCCACGCTTCAGAGTAATAACTATTAATACCCGCAAGGAAGGTATCAGTCTTCTCCATGGGGCAAAAGCCACAGTCTGAGGTCGCTAGGGGGTTTTCCAGGTATCCCCTGGGAGGATATGTTTCCCTGAATGCTGCCATATATTGTTCGCAGGTCTGGTTAGCGACCGGGTTGAAGCGGAGAAATTCGACAGGTTCGCAGATAATATCCGCGCCTGAGAGGGCGGTTGAGAGCATGGCGGACACGAGATAGGTGAAGGGCGAAAGACGGTAGAGGAAAATCCAGAAACCGGGTAGAGCTTCCTTGGTGGCGAGGACACCGCAGAAGACCAGGCAAAACATGAAGAGAAGGTTGGCAAGGTTGGCGCCTGTCTCGGCGACTTCAATACCTGCGATGGCAAGATGGGAGAACGTGGAGGTGAAGAGCAGGAATGTGAGAACAAGCAGGAACATGAGGCCGCTGCGTTCGTTGACAACGTCACTTGGGATGACCTTGAACATGCCGACGGGATAGTACCAGCATGCAAAGATGATGACGGCCATAAGTGTGTTCCAAGGAAGCTCGACAAAGATGTTAGCTATCATGAATGCCTTCCAGGAATATGACTTGGACGGGCGCTCGCGAGCTTCATAAAGTGCACGTGCAGCTACGAAACTGGGCATGATCTGTTGACACAGGTTGCTAAAGATGGTCATCAACATAAAAACAGAGAACATCTGGTTCTGAAGACCTTGCAGACTGGTTTTCGCGTTGAAAAAGGAGAAACCGATGAAAAGCGCAGAGAGGGAACACAATGCGGTTTTGGAGTAGATATAGGTTGGCGAGCGCCAGTACTGGGAGAACGCTCGGACTATGCACTCCCATACCTGGACACTGAAAGGCGCAGCGAATTCACGATAATCTTCCGGATTGCGATTGGCTAGTTCAACTTGTCCTTTCTCAGAGTGTATAGACTTGAGCTCGTCCAGGTGGACATGAACTGCTATTCGTTCGGGGCTGTTACGCCATACTTCAGGCCAATCGATGTCACTCTTAGATCCTGGGGCAGCACCGATGACTTCCAACATCCATTCAGCAGGGTTCGCATCTGGAGGGCAGGGAGAAGCACCATTTCTTTCGAAATAACTGGACAAGATAGACGACCGCTCGCCGACATCACCGAAATACACTGTCTTTCCACCGCTAGCAAGGAAAAGCAGGCGGTCGAAACGTTGGAAAAGCATAGCAGAAGGCTGATGGATTGTGCATAGAATCGCCTGGCCGTGCCTGGTAAGCGTGTCAAGAAGATTCAAGATAGACCAGGAAGTTTGACTATCAAGACCCGATGTTGGCTCGTCAA